AAAAGTCCGCTTAACCAGCAGCTTAAATAAAGCAGCAGATTAAACAATCTTTATTTTCAGCATTAGTCCGGAAATAGATCCATCGTTGACATGATAGTAAAATAACTGTCGAAAGGTCGGGCACAAAATGTTGGTGGGGGGGGGGGGATTATTTTTTTTTTCATTTCTGTTTTAATGCGAGGCTAAAATTACATCTGGGTGGACTGTGAAATACGTGTTGTTTTTGTTATTAGTTCGAGAGAGTTTATTTTGCCATGTACCTCTTGTCTGTTTGGGGGTGTGCTGTTTACCACCTCACCCACTTTAACCCGGACAGGCATAGTCGAAGCAGTTTGCCTCCCAAACACTCTAAATTGTACCAATGGCGATGGAAAAAAACGCCCACAACCGTTTACTCTTCCACACCTCATACGTTCTCACCTCGCAGGGTCCGAATCACGGCTTGTGGTTAGGGAAACCGTGTTCTAACTAAGATTTTATTCACAAAATTTCCACAGACGGAGTTAGCTCTTTTATTTTTGTTTCTTATCTCTTTTGGATCATGGAGACTTCGGATATTATTTCACGCCCATTTCACGGTCGTCTCCATCTCGCGAGGCCTCAAGTCCTCGTATCACGAGACGGGCTAAGAGAGGTCAGATTTCTTCTTTATCAGCATACCAGAATAAGACTGCTGTGTGGATTTTGGGTATCTTTGGCGTGGGGCGAGAGGGCACTTGGACGGGACAGGGAAGGGAGGTCGGCTCATAGAGTTACCCCCTCTTAAACCTATAGTGCCTATAGTGTACATCTATGGGTTGGCTGCAACATGCGGGAAGGGGAGGGGAGGGGCATGACAGTCAACTTGTCAATGAACTATTCAGAGTTCAACGTGAAACCGTCTTCTTTACTTTGCCTATTTGTTTAGTAAGTAGTGTTTGGTTTGCTTGTTAATCTTCTGTTTGCTTGTTTGTTTGTTTGTTTGTTTGGAGAGTGGTTTTTGGAATGGGGAGGAGATAGGGGGTGTCCAGTTGGGTAAAGGAACAAGTGCTTGCAATGTTCAAAATAATTATTCCCCCTGTTTTATAACGATCGGAGCAACCGGGGACAAAGACTGGGGCTTTGTTGGTAAGCGTGCCATCTCACCTTGATTTTCTTTACAATGCCGGTTGCCCGTTATCTCCCAAAGTAAAGGTTTGATTGCCATTGGTATTGATTCCTCATGTGTTGGTGGTTGGCGGGTGTTCTGATGTGGTTTGCTCCTTCTTTCTTATCAAATGCTTATCATCCGTATCCCTCCACCTTCAGTGTACTTTTATTTTACTCTCTAATAACACCTTTAATCTTCAGCATTTACATGACCCATCTATGTTACAAATACCGTAAAAAATCGTACAAAAACCAAACCAAACTCAAGTATCCGATGGGGCTGAACTCTCGAATCTACTTCGACTTATTGTAACCCTGAGAGTACTCACACTCCACACAGGGATATTGAAATACGGGGAGGAGATTTTTTTTTAAAGGGTGGGGGGGGGGGAATATTTCTAAATAACAGGCATGCTAACCTATCCCTTGAGCATCGATCCGTTTTGACCCAAATATTGAAACAACGTTGTTTATGAGGCTATTTTCTATACTTACACGTGATCATGACGGCAAGCTTTGGTTAGGTCCCTCCTTTCACCACCCCTCCCCCTTCCCTCCTTTATCCCCCTTTCGGAAATGTTTCTGTTCACCTTTCGAAAAAAAAAGCCTACGGTCTAATCATGGTTCGTTCTCTTGTAGTGATACGACAGACTTTTTTAAAGCGCCCTTCAAACGCCCTGTATAGCTCTTTCATTATCAGTCCCCTGACAGTGTCCCGGGTTAAGACCAAGTGTTTACATTTGAAGTGGGGAGGGACGGTGATATGGAATCACAAAGTTACGTTCCAGAGTACGTTGTGCCTCGTTCTTTCATAAGTTTGTATAACAAAAAACAACAATAAAATGTCTTTGAGCGTTTCTGGTAGAACGCGACTCTTTCAAAACCTGTTTCAACATCAAAAACACTGTCGTGCTGTTTCCAATGATATTTAAATCAGTCCAAAAGAAGTTTAGAATTAATATATACGCGATCACGCCCGGTACGGAAGGTACGAGAGGTATCCCTGTACGTCCTTCTTCTTTACTCTTTCTTAAGGGGGGACAGTGAAATAATCTCAATTCATGTGTTTTCAATATGTTTTTATTAGATTCAAGACGACTATTATGAACATAGTTGTTGATTCCAAATCACACAGAAATCGATCTTCTTTCGATAGAAACTGATTATGTCACGAGTTAAAAGCATGCATGAATTTTAATGTTCACCTCAACACTTTCATAATATCCCGCAGTAGGATTACTCGGAACGAATTAATTTTACTGTTCATTACCTATCAACATACTTCCCGGTTGTGTGGTCTGCAGCTTTAAGCAAATAAAACCCTGTTGAGCACTTTATAAGGACAGTCTATGCCTCACACACTGAAAGCTTTGCAAATAGGGCATGAACGCTATTTTATTGTAAATTTGATTTTTATTATTGGGTGTGCGGAAAGGGATGGGGGGCGGTTGAACAATCTTGGGGGTTGTAAGGAAAGTAATTAGCATACCTTTTGTATTATAGTGGTAACAACGAGCCAGTAAAAGGCCATCTCTTACTAGGCTTCTAGATATTAGATATGGAGGTAAAAGTCCGATTGTGTCCTCCTTTCCGAACTTACTTAATACTTGACCTACCACGTACATACGGGGTGCGGGTGTTTAGCCGGTGCTCTGATGTGGTTTGCTCCTTCTTTTCTATTAAACATCTATCGTCCTTATCCTCCCTTCTTCTTTTTCTTGTTTGTTACTTTCTTGTAAAACCTCTTATCAACGGCACTTATATGACCATATTTTGTTGCAAGTGCCATAAAACTTCTACGAAAACTTTTAAAAAGCATATCTGGGGTCTCCACTCTCTGTGGGGTCACTCTTTAACGATCTAAATTTTGTTGGGGGAAAGGGGGGGGGGGGCGTTAAAACGCCTACATTAAAGAACGAAATGGGTACACTCTAGAAGAAAAGGTACCCCCAAAAAGTCCGCTTAACCAGCAGCTTAAATAAAGCAGCAGATTAAACAATCTTTATTTTCAGCATTAGTCCGGAAATAGATCCATCGTTGACATGATAGTAAAATAACTGTCGAAAGGTCGGGCACAAAATGTTGGTGGGTGGTTGGCGGATGCTCTGGTGTGGTTTGCTTCTTCTTTCCTATCAAAAATCTATCGTCCTTATCTCCCCTTCTTCTTT